AGTGTTCGGTTGGGTTGGGTTGGTTGGTTTGTTTTAGTTTTATCGTAACATAAAATCTACTAGAAGTTGTCGAACTTTTTTTATTTCATAAATTTGTTGTTCCTTTGTTAAAAAGTGTTTTATTTTTATCGTAACATAAATTTGCCCATTTTAGTTGGGTTTTTTGCTCAATGGGGCGGGGGGGCCCAATGGGGCGGGGTCGGTTGGGTTGTGTTGTTGAGTTTGGGTTGGTTTGGTTTTATGACGTAACTAACGTGCCTTTAACATTTCGAATCGCGGCACATTTGTCAATTAAGCTATCATGCGCAGTAAAAGGAGCCGCCTGTGGCATTTAGCATCTCGTGTAAATAATGGGCAGATTAAATTAAAATGACACTATAAATACAATATTAAATTTAATTTAAAGGCTAACTAAGCACGGTCTAAAGCCCTTACATAATAGGTACACGTTTACTAACAGGAAACGTTTTGATGCATGGTATCGAGGTTTCCGTCTTTAGATTACTTGAACTCAAGCCACCAATCGTACATTGTACATTGCAAAATTCAGTAATTTTATAGGTAAAAATCTCGTGAAGAAATGTTGTAAAAACAATGCAACCAATTCGCTTCATATATATATATATATATATATATATATATATATACAGTGTGTCCGTAAAGTCCCGGAACATGTGATTATTTTGAAAACGGTAATTTTTTTTAAAAAACGCTGAAACACGCCAACTTTGATATTTTTCTAGCAATATTTTAGCATATGTAGTTGTTCCAAATTCTGCCGCGTGGCGGCGCCACAATCAAAGTCAGTTTTTTTTAAATTGCAACCCTTTATTTTTGTTGCATTTTTGGATAGCTACCGTTGTCCTGATTACATTGATGTGCCACATCTGGGGGGTTACATAAGAAAATTTTTGAGAAAATCAGGTTTTTGCTGCCGAATGAGATTTTGGTATTTTGTCAAACTTACACAATCTATGCGTTGCTTAATGTTTTTGGAAAGCCAATCAGAGCAGTTGCTCAAAGTGTCCACCGTAAACTATTTGGAAATGGAACAGCCTGTCTACAAACGAGCGTTGTACGTTTGCCAGTACCGCTGGAGTGATCATCTGGATCTCGGCTTGAATGCGGTGTCTTAGGTCGTCCAAATTTTAAGGCCTGTTTACATAGACGCGGTTTTTAGGAGGTCCCCATAAAAAGAAGTCTAAAGGGTTCAAATCGGGCGATCGCGCTGGCCACTCAATTTGACCCCTTTGACCTATCCAGCGATTGGGAAAGACCTGATTTAAATAATCCCTTACTAGCAATGCATAGTGCCCCGTAACAGCGAATAAGTTCGTCAAAACCAAAATCTTAATCAGCGGCAAAAACCTACTTTTCTCAAAAATTTTCTTATGTAACCCTCCACATGTAGCATATCAATGTACTCAGGACGACGGTAGCTATCCGAAAATGCAACAAAAATAAATGGTTGCTATTTAAAAAAAACTGACTTTGATTGTGGCGCCGCCACGCGGCAGAATTTGGAACAACTACATATGCCAAAATATTGCTAGAAAAATACCAAAGTTGACGTGTTTCAGCGTTTTTTTAAAAAAAATACCGTTTTCAAAATAATCACATGTTCCGGGACTTTACGGACACACTGTATATTCTTTGGGTGGATGGACTTCCTTGTACCGTCGAAGTTTGGCAGTTCGACAATCGCCTTAAAATCTGAGTCACTATTATTTATTATTATTTACGACTTTGGAAAACGGGTTGAGTGAATCAATCGTAAAGGTAAACATTGTTGTGACACATTTGACGCTTGACAGATGCAAAAAATAATAGAGGTTAAAAAGATACCTTCTTTATCTCTTCAAAGGATTGGAGGGGAGATGCGCAACCTTAATTTTACGTTCTCGGTCATTGTACACGTGCGACGTAAATATGGTCCCCCCCACTCCTTAAATTTCTATGGAGTTGAAGCTCCTGAATATATTCTTCTTATGTACACCTTAAAATAGGATGGTGCGCATGTTGGGCGGGGCTTAAATACGTCACTTGATGAGTGTTTTTGAATCTTTAACGTGCTTTTTAATTATCTGCTGCTAAAATTCTTGTTTTTGCGATGCTGTTGGATGTTAACTTGCTAAATTTTTTTGTTTAACTTGTTGTTTTTGCGTTCGGTAAGGTTCGAATTACTTTTTAGTGTTCAAATTATTGTTATTTCGTTGGGTTCTGTTTATCTTTTATTGTTTTTGTGTTGCGTTAACTTGTTTTGTTTGTGTTTTAGTTTGTGTCGTGCCATTTGCATTTATTAAAATGCGGTGTGGCATATTTGGATGCAATTCGGACAAACAGTCCAAGAAAAACCCTTTAAATAAACACATTAAATTTTATTGATTCCCTAAAAACTTTGAATTGTGCAAACAGTGGTTAAATGCCACAAAAAGAAAAGACAATATTAACGTTAAGACCGCTTCTGTTTTGTGAGAAAAAACTACACGTTATAAAATGTATTTTAAAATATTGTTTATTATGCTTGCACAGTAAAAATAATATAATAAAATAATAATTTAATAACTCGTAGTTTTTACTCACAATTTTTAATAGTGACGGGCGGGACAAAAATTAACGTGTAATGTGGAATGCTCCACTCCATTATTATTGGAGGTACAAAGTCAGTTAATTAGCAAATTGGTGGCATTTTTTTTTCTGTGATACAGAACAATGCAAGTCACACAAGTTATTTTGTTTTCATGGAAACGCGTTTGACATTTGAAATATATTACAATGAAATTGTGGCTCTACACCAAGATATATAATCTTCTTAAGCTTAATTTTCATGTATCCGTTTGTCCGATAGTCCGTTCATCCGGGAGCGCTCTTATTGGTCCAATTATAATTCGAAAATTTTGACATTTTATCGGTCCGTCAAGTTTCAACTTCGTACATCTGACAGAGAAAGTTAAAATAACTTTAACTAATCCGTCACTAAACATATGTTTTTGACGCCTGACGTTATTTTAAGAAAATTTATTTATTATTTTTATATTTTTTCAATAAGATTGTAAAACGGAAATATTACGTTCGTTATGTGGATGTTTTACTGTTTTTATTTAATTAATAACAGAAAAAAAAAACAAAAAAAAATAAAACTAGAACTAAAAAGACCTGCTTTTTTAAAACTATACATTTTAATGTACATTAATGCTAGTATATTCTTTTTATATGGTATATTTACCTACCTTTAAATTTATTAGACAGCTAACTGTTACAGTTACAATTGTTGACTTAATTGTAACTATGACAATTAAGCATTAGGTTAATTTAGTAAAGTGAATATACTGACACTTAATTTATATTTGTCGCCAAATCAATCCGTTAAACGTCATTAAAAAACGGATGCATGAAAATTAGAACATTTCTTATCCCACGATTTTATTGAAAAACGGACAAACTGATACATGAAAATTAAGCTTTACTCCACACAGAGGCAAAGTTATTTTAAAAATGCACAAGAAAACTTATAATCATAAACCAAAAATAAACTGACATCAACTGTCAAAAAAAGTTTGTTTCCGCATCTACAGGACAAGAATGACATATTAATAATGTTGATAGGAGACAGTCTAACTTTATCTTTTAAAATTGCAAATCTGTGTGGAGTGCAATTAATATCTCATGGCGGATGACCTGGCGGATGACCTTGGGGGCGCAAAAGTCTCAAATCCGTCAAATCGCGCTATTACTCGCCGACCTAAAAACATACTACATAGGGTAAACAATGCTGATATTTATTGACATATCGATGATTTTCTGCCAAAGTATCGCAAGCAACATAACTGAAATGTCGGGAATTGAAAACATTTTTTGTTTTAAATTCTGTTTTAAATTAAATATAGCCTAAAGGTTTTATAACAAGTAAATAGCTTATAATTATAGCAAAAAAAGTTTTCAATTCCAGAAATTTAAGTTATGTTGCTTGCGATACTTTGGCAGAAAGTCATCGATATTTAGAAGAATTTCTGGGCTGGAAATTCTATTATATTTGTATATACTATAGCACCTCTCAAGGTCAACTGCCATGAGATATTAATATCACTCTAATAAATAAGGAGGTCCATTCCAAAACTTGGCTTATCCACTTTTTAATAAAAATGAGTTAGTGGTGCCTGTACATTTAACATGTATCCCCCTATACCCTGAAAAGTTCATAATATACTAAAACTCACCTTATTCCATTTAAAATTCATTTACAAATGGACTATCGTTCCAAAACTTGCCTTATCTATTGGTTATATCATGCAGAACTCTGCATATACGTATGTAATTTTAAATTATTTTAAATTTGAGCTATACCTATTTAATCAAGGTATATCAATGTTTTACTTATGACTTTATATTTAGTTTAAATTATTGTGTTGGCCTGATATGCTTTAGTGTAAGGTTTTTGACATTTTGCTTAAAAACAATTAATATGGATAAGCCAAGTTTTGGAATGCACCTCCTCAAATGTTAAAAGGCATAAGTGCATATGAAAAAAAAACTTCATTGATTTCTTATTGTCACATAACATATATAAATTTGGACAAAAAATGTACAAACTGGCTATTTATACGTCCGACGTATACAAAATTTGGTATACGTCTTGTGCTTTCATTGGCTAGTTTATTATTAGCGGAATTATTCAATAAGCTTTTTTTATTTATATAGCGAAAAGGATTATTATTTAATTTTACATTAATATTCATTTTGCTACAGTTATATAATATAATATGTAATTATATGAATATTCCTTCGTTGAAAAATTGGGTGGGGGGGGGCCAATGGGGCGGGGTCGGTTGGGTTGGGTTGTTGAGTTTGGGTTGGTTTGGGTTGGTTTCGCTCACTTTTGCCCATTTAAGTTGATTGACAGTGAGCAAAACCAACCCAAACTCAACAATGAAAGCTCAAGACGTATACCAAATTTTGTATACGTTCGGATGTATAAATAGCCACTTCGAAAAATGTATTACCTTTTTCTTAGCTAATTCCTCTCGTTTTAAATCTATCAAAGAATCTGGAATACCAGTAGGATTTTCTTGGGCTGATATCAATAACGCCCAAAGCTCTGCCATAAATTCCCTAGCATTTTTGCCATGTAAAAATCCAGTCAAATTAATTTGTATTTTTTTAGGATCAGGGTACTGCAACAATACAAAGTTCATAAAAATAAATCTACATACTGATTACCAATTCTTACTTTTTCTTCCAGTTGGTTATAAACAAAATCAACCACTACATCATCATCTATCTTCAATATTTCTGTCAACTTATCTTGGATCCATGGTTTGATAACGTCCAATTTAATTTTAGACATATCAACCTACAAATAATGGTTTCAGTAAGCAAATAATTAAAGCAAAAATGCAATATCTTACCCGTTGACTAAGGCAGTCACTAAACTTCATCTGCTTTAGCAGCTTTTTTTCCTTATCACTAAACCGATTGTCCTGTTCAGTGTTAGTCCCCTGAAACATGTAGATTTGCTTCATTTTGTTTAAAAGGTGTAATAACAATACGTCTCAAGTTGACAGTTTTGATCTATTTTTAACATTGCTTAAAACATGCTAAATTCAACAATAAGATCTTACCGTATACATCATGAAGCCAACGTTACCCTTTAACAATTAAAACAAAAACGAATGTACAATATACAGGGCTTATGTTCTGTGATACAGGGTATTCTACCGATGATGCCGGTAAATTTATTTTCCCCCTAGAGTTATATTACGACACATTCATCGGAAGGACTTGTTAAAATAAACGCGCCTTTAAATATTTTCAGCACAAAGTTTCTTTACAGAGCTTTTAATTCCACTACTTTTGCAGTTCAATATTAATATTCCATGTTGCTTTAACAAAATGGCGTGGCGTCAAACTAGTCGGCTATGCAGAAATCTGACATCATCGAATGTCAAATTTTTGCGGCAAAATACCACTAAAGGATATTAAATTTGTTTGTGTATTTAATTTTTAAACAAGTTAAAATTTCCTTATTTAAAAATATAAGGGAAAAAAATCATTAATTTTCCCTAATAATAATGGTAAAACATTTTTTTTTAAATTCGCCCGAGTTGAAAGCGCCCTCTATTTGTGTAGAAGCACTGGATGTCAATTGATAGTCAAAAGTTTTAAAAAATTATTATTATGGAAGAAAAAATTGTAAATATAACTTGTAGAGCGTGTTTACAAGATGAGGGTGAATTTATATCTGTGTTTTGTATTGAGAAAATCAACGGGACTAGTCTACAGCTAGCAGAAATGATCGAGTCATTTTCTTCAGTAAAGGTAATGATTATTTATTTGTTTATTTTTTTATATTAACGTTTAAATTTTCAGATCAGTCTTGGGGATGGTTTCTCGGACCAATTATGTAAAGAATGTTACAATAAAACATTAAATTTATTTTTATTTAAGTTAAAATGTGAAGAAACTGATTTATACCTCAAGCAGATAGATGCTCAAAAAGAACCCCTAAAAGAAATCCATGATAATCAGGTTATTGTTGTGGAACAAAAATTAAGCCAAAGTAACAGTGACAATATACTAGTAAAACCTGAATATTACATAGACAATGATAGTTCTACTGATAATGTGGAAGTTTATGAGGAAGTTTCTGCAGAGCAAGAATGTAATGAAACTGAGGAAATTGAGGATGAAGAATCTGATAAAAATAATTTTGCCTGTGATATATGCTTTAGAACGTTTTCCCGGATGGACATACTTTTAAGTCACAAAATAGCTCATTCAATAAAAATAAGAGGAAACAATGTAGAATTTTCCAAAGGGGAGGAATCAGAAGAACTCCTTCAAAACACAATTTTAATAAAAACAGAGGACTTGCTGTTTTCTTGCACTGAATGTAATTTAATATTTTTAAAAAAAGAAGAGTTGGACCTGCATTTACAAAACCATGGTAAAAGAAAACAACATCAATGTGAACATTGCCTAAAATCATTTACAAAACCATCACATTTAACAAGGCACTTAAAAACACACTCTGCTGACAAGCTATATGTTTGTAATGTTTGCAAGAAGAGGTTTTCTCGGCTGGACCAGCTTCATTTGCATGTGAGCTCTCATTCAGGTGTTAAACCTCACATCTGTGAGATTTGTTTAAAAGGTTTTAATCAGATTTCAAATTTAAAGGATCACATGCGTACTCACAATGGTGAAAAGCCATTTTTGTGCTCTGAATGTGGCAAAGGGTTTAATCAGTTGGGAAATTTACGGCAACATACTATTAGGCATACAGGAATTAAATCTCATTTGTGTAGTACTTGTGGAAATGGATTTGCTAGTAAAGGAGAACTTTCTGCTCATTTAAGAAAACATACAGGTAATATTTATTATTAATAATAATATTGTTAAGTTTTAAATATAACATATTAAATATGTGACACATATATCTGCTAAATGTGATATCAACTTTAAAGTTGACAAAATAAGTTTTATTGTAAAATGTGCCAATGTATGTGTATTGATTTGGTTAATATCCATTTTTCTTTTTTTATTGTTTTTATTTTATTGCTACTAGAATTAATTGGGGGCCATCCATAAATGAGGAGCATCCGTGCAAAACCGGCTAAATCCATTTTATTCAGTTTTTGTTATTTTTTTTGATTTCGCATCTTTGGGTTTATTTCTATTGACAACCAAGATAATTCTGTTTAAATCCGACTAAATCCTTGTTAAAATCACATTTAAAAGGTAGCTTTTGGAGCAAAACCGGCCAAATCCACGTTTTTATAGCAAACCCGGCTATATCCAATAAATAATAATAGGTGGCTTGGATATGTCAATACTACTACTAAAATTTGTTCTGTTTTTTCATGTTTGCACTAAATTTATTTTGTTAATATTTTTGAATAATAAAGGTTTTTTTTTCACATTTTATTCGTTTTTTATTCGGTTTTTGAGCAAAACCGGCTATATACAAAACATTTTTTGAAATTATGGCCTTAATATAAAGTTTTTGAAAACGAAAGTATGTCTTATAAATCAAGTACCACAAAGCCCACAAAACTCAAGTTTGCTTTTTCTTTTATCTGTAAAGGCCAGGAAACCGAGAGTTTTTGCCATTTTCCCAACATTTTATTAAAGTGGATATAGCCGGTTTTGCACGGATGCTCCTCAAATTATGTCAAACACTTAGGGGGGAGGGGGGTCGTCGAAAATGTGACAGTTTGTGACATCCGGGGGGGGTTTGGGAGGTTGTGATGTCACAAAATTATAAAAATATTTTGGAATATTAATGGTTATAAACTGGATATTAAGATTTTATTTTAAGCAAAAATTTCGTGGGGTAGACCTTACATAAAAATCAGTGTGACGTGAGGGGGGGTCCCATAATTTGTGAAACTTTGTGACAATTGGGGGAGGGGGGGTCAAAAATATTTAAAAAACGTGTGACATCATTTATGGATGACCCCTTATTTGTTTACTTTTTGTTTTATTGAATATTGCTGAAATTGTTGTATATTTTCCTGTAATGGCGCGGCGTAAAGCCAACCTTGTTTACAACAACAAAATTTACCATCGAATATTTATAAAGGTTAGTTATATTGTTTTGTGCTTAAAATCTTTGTTTTATGCTTAAAACCAGGGACCCGGACCGGACCGTGTTTGGGCAGGAAACCGGACCGGAACCGGTATTTATTTGTGGACCGGAACCGTAACCGAACCCATATTATTTTTAATTGTTACTCTAGAGCAGCGATACTCAAACTGCGGCCCGCGGGCCGCATGTGGCCCGCCAACTCTTTCTTGCGGCCCAAAGCCTAGCCACGGTAATTTTTAGATAAAAAAAATTCCCAAATAATGTAAAAAACTTTTTTTTGCACAATCTTGTGAGATAAAGAAGGGCAATATTTTTTCTGTAATATGACGAGATTTTTATTGCTTGTGAACCGTCCAAGTACAGTGTAATCTTTCCAACTTTGACTGTGACGAGTTTGAAACACGGCGTTAGACGAGCCCCTTTAATACGTTTTTGTAAGAAATGGTGGGGATTTAAAGTCGCGGGACGCGAGTAGGCAAACACTCTCAAAAAGTTATTTGTTAATCTTGCCTTAGTTTAAAATCACTGGCACTTACAAACCGCCGCTGTGAGACAACTTACTGCATTGGGATTTAACAACGCAGTTATTGAATAAATGTATTGAATTTAAAACTGACTCAAATTTGGAAGCAATTTTTAAACAAAAAAGGATAGAAAGAATTTTAAAAAGTAGTAAGGTGTACCTGGTACCCAATAACTTTGAACGCTGAAATGAAATATTGGACGCAATCCAAGAAAAGAGAGGTAGCGTCCAAAAAATGATTTTTCAGATTATCATTTTTTTAAGTAAATGGGTAAACGATATTTCGAAAGGTCCAGACGGAATTGACATGGTTATTATTTCACTACAAAAACGCTTATGCCGCGGCATGCCGCCCGAACTTCAATCGCCTTTTGTAAAATTTGATTTTTGGATGCTAGGTTTGTTCTTTCGGATCGCTTCACATATTCAATGTGTCTGATGTCGGCTAACTGATTCACACCTTGATGACGTGTTTAGAGTAGCATGTAGACGGATTTAACTAAAATTGTCAAAAGTTGTTCACAATTTCAACAATTAAGGGCCGGTTTTTCAATCGTTGGTTAAGTTTAACTTACGGTTAACTTTCTTAGATACTATTGTGTTAACAATAGTATCTAAGGAAATTAACCGTAAGATAAAGTTAACCAACGATTGAAAAACCGGCCCTAAGAGTTTTATTGTAATATAGGTCGTTGCGGCCCGCCTGAGGTAGCAGTCATACATATTTGGCCCAAGAAAAAAAAAGTTTGAGTAAGGCTGCTCTAGAGACTGAACCCGAACCCTTTCAATTTAAAACGGTTTTTAGGTTATTTTCGGTTTTTCTTCTTAATTTCTTTTTGCTAAAATTAAAATATATACATATATATATTTTTTTATAAATCTATAAAATTAGTTTTTGCAAAAAGATATTTAAGTCGTTTTTTCGCGTAAATACCATGAAATATTTCATATATACTATGGTTATTAAACTTAACCTTGGTTAAAAGTTAAGGCATTTTTGCGTTTAGAGTGCGTTCAAAAATCCTAACTATGACGTCACAAATACCAGACCATAAAACTATATCGCTGAGCTAGTTATTCAACGTGTTTAATAGTCTTTGAAAGACTGTCTTTCTCTTTTTAATATATATTTTTCTCTGTTTCGATCTGTTAAAAAGTTGTTTACATTTGACGTCAAAAAGGAATTTAAAATATTTTAAGTAGGTACAATTGCTCTTAAACCGAATTTAAACTTTATTAAAATGGTAAACGGGGTGTTGTCAGTGAAAATAAATGATAGGGTGCTCCATATTGTGGAATCTCCACAAGAAGTGGAGGAATTATATGCAGGTTTGTTTTATATTCTTCCTTATTTTGTATTAAACATGTAGGAGAATTGGATAACGTGTATTGAAAAAACTAGTATAAAAAAAGAATATACTAGGTATAAGAAGAGGCAAAGAAATTTATATACACGAGTAAAAGCATAGAAATTAAATATAAATAGGTAAAAACACATTTAAAAAATTATAGGTTATGAACAAGTAAACAAATGTCAAATGTTAAGTCCATGTCTGACGGTGCAACTTCTCGCGGCGATTTTGTTGCGGCGATTTTTTGGTGGTCACACGATGCAACTGATCAGCTGATCTAACCTGTCTCAAAATAGAACATGTTCTATTTTCATGCAATAAAATTTACGAATTTTCACTAAATTTTTTGGTTGGTACTCAATATTTATCAGCTGTGGAATGACAGATGTGATTTGCGTGTGCTTTAATCTGAGTGTTTTTATTTTTACACCACAAAATACTTATAACTTTAAAAGAAAAACAAAATCGATTTAAATAAACATTAAATTTGTTAAGGTATTTTTATTTTTCAACTAAGTAATTTTCGGTTATGTTGGCAATCCTAGTAGAAAATAACGTCAGTTTGGTTGCACCGTGTGAACACCCTAGAGGCGAGAAAGTCGCTGCAACTAGTCGCCGCAACAAAGTCGCCGCGAGAAATTGCACCGTTATGCCGGTTTTCCACCAAACGGACAAAACAAAAACAAAACACAAACTCGTGTCGAATAAAACAAAACTGCAACTTTTTGCTAACTTTTTGAAGACTGGCGTGTTTTGCGACAGTTTGAGTTTTGTTTTTCGAGTCCCGCTCGAAAGCGGTAACATCAAAAAGTTTCGATGTGTTTTGAAACTCGAGTCTGTTTAGTGGAAACGGTCGTGTTGTGTTTTTTGTTTTCGACTTTTATTTTATTTTGTTTATTTTGTTAAAGTCTGCATACGAATTTCATACTAAATTGGTAGGTAAGTAAGAAACATATTTTTTCCAAGTGTATAATAATATTCATATTATATTCCTCATAAGTCTATATAGAAATACTACAATTTAGTTACGAATAGATACGAATTTCATACTAAATTGGTGGGTAAGTAAGAAACATATTTTTTCCAAGTGTATAGTAATATTCATATTATATTCCTCATAAGTCTATATAGAAATACTACAATCAGAGCCGGCTTAAGGCAATTGAGCGCCTTAGGCACTTAAAAATTTGGCTCCTCTAACTAGATACTATACTTACGGGGCCCGGGGCAAATTTTAAAAAAGCTTATTAGAGCCACCCCAAACTGTTAGCTTAAGGGCGCCCGAGTATTATAACTAGGGATGCACCGGAATTCCGGCGGTACCACTAAATCCGGCCGATCCGGCCGGATCGCTCCGGCCGGATCGCTTTCTAGATATATTTTGTAATTGGTCAACAGTAAAGGGTGTGCGTGTTTCCTTGCCTATGATAGACCGGCGGCTGTGGTTCCCCGACTTCTTTTTATTTTTTTTAATATTGGCAGGTGGCTGCTATTCTCCAATTGAATGAGTAGAATTGTTTTAATTTTGTTAACGCTAATTAAAAATTAATATGTAAATAAACACTAATTTCTATATATGTAGGTAAAATTAATAGTAATAAATACTCTGCATACTGTAGCTAGTTTAAAAAAAAGTACAAATAAATCAGCCTCAATATTTTCTATGTTTTACGTATAAAAACAGGCATGGACATACATTTTAAATTTAGGTCCCGATCCGGCCGGAATTCCGGCGATCCGGTTCGGCCAGCGGCCGAAATTCCGGTTCCGGCCGGATCGGCAAAATACCTGATCCGGTGCATCCCTAATTATAACCTAATTATTCCCTATGAATTAGAATACTTTTTATCATTAAAAAATACATAAATAACATACAAACATAACAAATATAATGTAAATAAAAA